GAGCATCCACGTTAGAAACATGCTCCTGCTTAGGAGGCTGTTGCGGTCGGCCCCCATATGAAGCTGACTTGGGAAAAGCGTGATGGCCAGTGGTATCAGCGCCTGCAGTGTAAGAGGAGTTAATCAAGTCACTCGCACACTTCTGCATCTGCTCTCCCTTCCTTAACCTCCCTCCCCCTACTCCCCCTCCTCCTCCTTCTCCCCCTCCCACAGCTCTTCCTGCTGTTGCAATATCATTTGTTGCCTTTGACGCCGCTGCCAGCCCTCTCCGTTTCTCTAGAGGACCAGCAGGATCAGAGAGCTTGTGAGGCACATCAGAACCACGTTCTCGCGGCCCTGCCACATAAGAGAGCTTTTGAGATGCCTCAGAATCGTTACCACGGGGCCGTGGCCTGTCAATGGCCGCTTGAGCAGTGGCTGCTCGGGTACTGCTATCACCTTCCTCCCTTCGACTGCTTCCCCCTCCCCCCCCCCCGCCTACTCTCCCCTTCCGCCCCGCACTTACTCTCCCCATCCCAGCTTTGCCTGCTCTCCCATTCCCCTCCTCGCCCGCTCTTTCCATCCCAACTTTGCCTCTTCTCCCCTTCCTCCCCTCGCCTACTCTCCCCATCACCCTTTCCGTTGCTCTCCCTATCCCAGCTACGCCTGCTCTCCCCTTCCCCGCAGTACCTGCCATTATCCCTATCACCCCCTCGCCTGCTCTCCCCATCCTCCATATATGCAGATTCATCCCCATGCTCAAGACCTGCCTCCCACTGCGGCATCTCCTCTACGGATTTAGACCTTCGCCTCACAAGCGCACGCCTCTCCCCTTCTTCCCCCCATTTATTCTTTGTCCTGTACACCCTACCTTCAGCAGCAGCATTACCTCCCGAAGCAGCATCATCAGCAGCAGCACCAGATGACACAGCTGCAGCTGCGGCTGCTGCCTCTCCGCCAAACCTAGACTTTACATGGGTTCGGGCCGGACCTATCTCCAGCCCCCCTACCTCACCTTCCGAACCATGCCTCCTCCTACCCCTCACCCCTCTCTGCTCTGTTGACACAGACGGCGATTTTGGCAGCATCTGGGGGCGGTGGGAACTGGGGGCGGCCAGGTGAGTGCCACCTAGCTTACGCTGGGTGTCAGTTGAGTTTGCACCAGAACCATACAGATCTCCCCCTCTTACACCCTCCCCATCCACCTCTCCCCCTCCCATACCCACGCCATCATTCCCATTTCCGCTGCTGCCCCAATCCAAAGGCAGGGAACCTTCCGAGAGGTTTCTCTGGTGCCCTGATCCCTGATGTGGCAGCAGCTGCTTCTGGCGCTGCGGCTCCCCTTTCCTCTCCACCTCCTCGCCTTTCAACTTACCCTTCGCCTCTCCCCCCTTGCTTTCCTTCTCTTTCCCCCGTCCTCTCCCCTCCCTCCCCGCGTCTTGTGCAGCAGCAGCAGCAGCGCCAATAGCTGCATGCTCACACTCCTGCTTCTCTGACTGGACTCTCTGGTCCCTGCTTCTGCCCCTGCTGCTGCTCCTGCTGCTACTGCTGCCGCCGCTGCCATCCCCACTGCTACAGCTGCTCCGGATCCTGCTCCTGCTGCTCCTGTTAACGTCAGAGCTGCTGTCGTCCACGTTGCTGTGGCTGCTGCTCGCGCGAGCGGGAAAACTTGCGGGGCCACGAGCTTCCTGCTGCGCCTGGTGCGTCAGCAGTGCCTGCTGAACCTGCTCGCTCTGCTCTCTATGCTGCGGCTGCTGCGGCTGCAGACGCTCCAGGTCAGCGGAGGTAGAAGACGAGCGGGAGTGCGAGGTGGGCAACCGAGACGACTTGCGACGAGCGGACCCTTCAACGGTCGGCGCGTGTGCGCGGGATCTCTCTTCCGCTGCCTCTGCTGAAGAAACCCAGCTCGAGTCGCCCATGGCTTCAGGCCGGCAGGACGTTCGAGCCGACTCAACGGTTATCGCTTGTCCACAGGAGCCCTCTCCCGCGGCCTCTGTTGCGGAGACCCCGTTCGAATCGCTTACGGCTTTGGTCCGACGAGCGCGAACCTTACCCGTTGCCTCTTTCCGCACGCTGCTGGTCCCTGCTGCCGATCCCTTCCTATCTGCCATTTCAAAGCGCGAGCTGCCTTGGCTTTCCAACCTTCCATGGGATTCGTCGCCGTTGCTGTGAACGTTTTGATTCGTCCTCCCAATTGGTATCGTTTCTAGGGTTTCTTCGCGATAGTGTCTCGCGGAACCGTCTTCGTCCGCATCCGCAATCCACGGCGCGTCGTGCGCCATGAAACGAGCGGCTTCGTCGGCGACGTCATCGTGAATCACGATGCTGGACTGCGACCCGCTGCCAGCCACGTCATCACGCACGAAAGAACGAAAGCGACTCGCCTTATCCGCGGGGTCGACGGCCCTCCGGCTCACCTCCTTTACTCGCGACGCGTCAGAATCGTTTCTTTTATCAGAACTCCTACTGGAAGGGCGACGGCTAACCCTGGTTCCTTGGCTCTGGGTCGGACCGTGAGAACCGCCGTTAGGAACGCCATGACCTGTAGCGTGTGCTGACGTGTACAGGTCCATGGAGGCATCGGAGTGCACGGCGACGCAAACCGGCGACATGGTTACCAGGTTTTCGGCAACGGAAACCCCATATTCAGGCAAGACGGAGTGTAAGATTGAAAAAGGAAAATTATCTTTGCCAACAAGGGTATATCTATCTTGAAGTCTAACGCTGACCTGACGATCGTTTACTCCAGACAAGAACGGCGTGAACTAGCATATTAAGCATTGAACGCGTTAGCGCCTGTGCCCCTGATTCTGTGCATAAAAAACTTAACTCACTGACACTTCTTTCGATGACTGAGCGGACTAGATGCACGGCAGAAGTTTCTAAGCTGAGAAGCAAGCAGACGAACAACACACTCCTGAAGCTTACAAACATGATGGATGAGCAAGTGAGGAACAAGCAGAACACTGTCGTGAGTTGTGTTATGAATTGTGACAACCTCTGATGAATTGTTATTCCTGTGGTCAGCAGTTCCCCTCAAATCCTGATGTGAGGGAAGAGATCGAGGCCTGAGGGGAGCCTTGGAAATGACGCGGCGCGGCTTGCTCTGGAGCAGCAAACCAGACTGGCATTTGAACGCCTCCGGTCAGGTCTAGTTGGAACCAAAATCTGGCTGTCAGACGGGCAGAATAAACTTCATGCAATATGCAGATTACGGAGCTCGCTTCGCTACATTATAATAAGGCAGGTTGATTTCATGCGAGATGACTACACGATTCATTTCAGGGCGGTCTGGAAGGCTGGTGCGGATTTTCTGTCCAATGGCGGCCAGCTAGGAATCTCTGGTTTATGATGTTGGAAACAATAAGTCTTAGTGCGCTTCTGTCGTGTCAAAACCCAAGACACTAGCGAAGCAGTCCGAATCGAAGCATCGAGTCAAACCTCGGAGGCTAGGGTAACCGCCTGGAGGTTACGGGAAAGTCAAAGGTCAGCGACCTTTGACTCGACAATTACAGCGCGACAGTTAAGGACATACAACTGACTCGTTACAGAGCAGTTGCCCGAGTCGCACTGTATCGAATCGCAACAGCAAATACGGTTATCTATCCATTCGTATTCCCTGTACTCTTATATAAAACCTTGTATTTGCTTGTTTAATTCAATCCACTTTGCTCTCACACACTAGTGCAAGGTCGGTTCACAAACTTCATTAAACGCTTCCGCTATTACAAATATCCTACCCAGAGTTATCATCTGCAAAGATCCTTAAGGGTTTTCTCAGCCCAACATGGTATGAGAGCTGACAGGGGAAAACTCTAACTTTTTTATCATTACAAGACATGGCAACAAACAAGGAAAGGAGCTCCCCTAATGGCTCCTCGGGCACTACTCCTACTCCACCGCCAGCCTCTGGCCTGCAGACAGAGGAAGGCACGGCAGTAAGACCAAGGGGAACGTCAACCGAGACCCCCACGAACCATCCTTCTGACTTCGACCAGAGCATGATGGAGAAATTTTTCTCCTTCATGTCCTTCTACGAGCAACACCAGCAGTCGGGACTGTGAGAATAAGCGAACAGGAATGAATGAACTAGCAGTGAAATGAGTACAAGTAGGAAACCCTAGAATTGTGTACCCCCTATAGGCTAACCCACTGTAGCCTACACAAGCATAACATATATAATGTTTGACACACCCCCATAGGCAAAGTGGGGGAGAACAAGGGGTCACAAGACCAGTCAAGCAAAGCAAAGCAAGCTCAGGGTGGATCACAAAGTCACCACACAGTCCGAGCACAAGAGCAGGGCCAGAGGCCAGTTCACATGCAGGAGTACAGACATATATATAAAACTAGACAAGCAAGAGCAGGTATATATATATGTCACAGTACAAGTGAAGTCAAGAGGAGAGCAAGTGAGGCAAGACAGGCACAAGACCCAGCTGGGTGCAAAAGCGCTGATGGTCACAAGGCGCGAGTGCCTTGGTGAACACATCAGCAATGTTGGCCTCAGAGGCCACGTACGCAAGTCGCAACTGACCACGCTGCTGCAGCTCACGAGCAAGGAAGTAGCGGAGAGCAATGTGCTTCGTTCTGTGCTCCAAGCGCTGCTCTCGACACAAGGCCAGCATGGCCTTGTTGTCTACGTACAGCACTGGAGGAGAACGAGGCGGCTCTCCAAGGTCAGTCAGCAGGTAGGTGAGCCAGCGAAGCTCCTGTGCAGCCATGGCCCCGGCGTAGATCTCAGCCTCACAACTGGAGCCGAGAACCGAAGACGAGCGAGTAGACCGCCACGAGACAGAGCCGGAACCAAGGCAGAAGGTGTAACCCTGTGACGACCGCTGCGTAGCCTGGTCGTCAGCCCAAGAAGCGTCCGCGTGGCCGGTAAGGACCACTGGACTTCGCCCTCCAAGCACAAGCCCCATGCCCGACGTACTGCACAGGTAGCGCAATACCCTCTTCGCTGCAGCCATGTGCTCTGGTCTGTGTCTCCCAGGAGCAACATAGCGTGCAAGAATGCTCAGAGGATATGCAAGGTCAGGTCGTGTGCAGGTCATCAGGTACATGAGGCAGCCAACAAGCTCTGCATACGGACCATCCGACTCTACGGACTCATCCGAAGGCAGAGCTGAGAGTGAGTGGCGAGTAGGCAGAGGAGTGGCCTGAGGCGAGGAGTACGTGAAGCCGAAGCGCTGAAGGACCTGCTGCACCATGTGTGACTGAGTCAAGGTAATGGTGCGGCGTGCTCTGTCCCGAGTGATCTGCAAGCCAAGGTAGCTGCGCAGTTCACCCAGGTCTGTGCACGTGTGTCTCTTCAGCAGTTCGGACTTCACGTAGGCGAGTCCAGCAGTGTCCGCTGTGGCAAAGACCAAGTCGTCGACGTACACGAGGATATAGAACGGCGGCAGTGAAGTGTCGGTGCGCAGAAACAGCGACGGGTCAGCAGTAGAAGGAGCAAACCCAAGAGCCGCAAGCGTAGTCCTCAGTGTGTCGTGCCACTCACGCGGTGCCTGGCGGAGACCGTAGACTGGCCGTCGGAGGCTCCACTGGGTGCCAGAAGGGAAAGTCCCAGTGAAGCCAGGTGGACGGCGCAGCCAGATCTCCTCGTGCAGGCTACCCTGCAGGAACGCAGTGCTGAAGTCGAGAGAGTGAAGCTCGTAGTCGCGCTGAGCGGCTATGTGCAGCAGCACCCGAAGAGTGGTCATCTTCGGGGTGGGAGAGAAGGTCTGAAAGTAGTCAACTCCCTGCCGCTGACTGAAGCCACGAGCAACGTACCGCGCCTTGAAGACAGGTGGAGAGCCCGGCGGCCGCTTCACCCGGAAGATCCACATGCCACTGACGATGTTCGCCCCAGGAGGGGGAACTGCGTCAACGTAGGTGCCTGTGGACTTCCAGGAAGCCATCTCTGCATCCATAGCTGCCTGCCACTGAGAGGAGTAGGGACCCTCTACGGCCTCCGCGTAAGAACGCGGAGTCGGGATGTCTAGTGCATCCGGGTCTCCCTCAGGGGCAAGCAGTACAGACGCGAGATGAGGTGAAGCAGCCGCTAGACACTGTAACTCCTCCTGTCTGTCCTCTAGGACGTCCGTGCCAAGAGCACACTCACCCCCGACGGACGGAGGACAGACAGACGCAGACTCAGCAACAAGACCAGCAGCGTAGTCGAGACGACAGCGAGCAGCAAAGTCAACGAGCTCAGCGACTAGAGCAGACGCAGCAGTGGACTCAAAAGAGGGGTCAGTGACGACAGTAGCAAGCAGACGCGTGACAGTAGGACTGGCAGCGCGAAGAGAGTCCGACTCAGGGTCGGCAAGCGCAGGAAGAGAGGACTCAGGAGGCGAAGGCAAAGGGGCACGCAGAGGAGCAGTGGACGGACGCAGAGACATCCGGTGCGTGCCAGGGACAGGAGGAGGACGCTGACGCGAACCGCGACCACTAGCGCGAGCAGCACGAACAGGCGACGCGGGACGA